CTTGTTATTGCTTGGTTCAGCTATAGCAACGGGTTTCACAGCATTTGCCTTGGCCGCTTTAGCATCAGTCTTAGGTTTTCCTGGATGGAGTAAAATGTTTGCCAGTTTAAAATAAAAGTTAATAGAATGTTCAATAAATTATATAAATTTCAGTACACGAGAACTAACCATTTTCAGCAACAGCCGCCACAGCCACAGGAAGCTCCTCGTCGCTGCTTTCTTCCTCACTATCTGTATATAAGAATAATATGCATGAGAAATACTTGATCAAACCAATTTGCAAGAATGCAAGTAGGCAAAATATATACCAATACTCACCGAATTCGTCATCTGTGGTGGCAAAGGACAGCACTAAAGTCAAGGAAGCACAACATTGTACAAGCAAACTCCACTTTCATGAAAAACAAATTTGTTTATAAAAAATGATTCATAGTAAAAAAAGGGATATCCTTCGTCTGGGACCAAAGTCTTGTAACCAAGAAAATAGACGCTGCCATTTTTCCAGTTGGGAGAGAGCTCAAAGTCTTGCTCAAGTACTAAATCAAAGTTTAATTGAGGGTAATTCTGGTGAGAAAGAGTTCCGAGAACAAGTTTCTTCCCATCAACATTCACATAAGAGTGGTACAGACTCCGCTTTGCTCTTTGACTCACCAAGCGATGCCTAAAATACAAGCAGCATTGCAGATAAATGTAGACAAATAAGAACAGAAACAATGACAGATAACATCAACAAGTAAATCTTTTCGAACCTGGGATAGATGGATAAGATGATTGGCACCAGGGTCTGTTTTAATAGGCTTTCCGGCTTTAACTTCAATACCTAAGAATAACATAAAGATTAATCAAATTTAATCACCCAAACTGCAAAAGCAAGTCCAATGTCATAAATATAAGACAGAAGCACATGTAGTTTAGGTATTTTTTTGTATTTTCTAATGATGATCTAATTTAGCACAACTGAAAATTTGTAATTTCACAACCCTTAATTTCTAATATAACTTCCTAAAAGTTCAAAAATCACATAAAAACACATAAATTCTATTTGGATATAAACCATGAGTATATATGATCATTTTCAATAAGCTTTCATTCAAAGACCACAAAATGAATTGAACGCAAAATCTACAAAACACCCGACATTCGATGAAACATGTTTAAAGGAACAACATTTGAAAAAACAACATACGCCGTATCATACCAGTGCTTATAGCAGTACACCCAAAACAATCAAGCATAAAATCGAAAAAGAAACAACATTTAGAAAAACAAAAGAAACATGAACATAAGATCAGAGAGAACTAAGTAAAATAAAATATTATTGCAAGAAAGCGGCAACATCAACAACATAAAAGAACAAAAGAAACAGTGGAAGTGAAAGCCCAAAGCTTCAACATGTAAAGGAAATAGGAGCTTACCCCAGAACTCCATGTATGAAAGAAAACTGATGGAGCTAAGGTTTTAGTGGCGTCGGACAACTAGGGTTTTTGGCGAAGCGAGACAAAGTGAATAAAATAGTAGCATTTTAAATAGTGTGGACACGAGAGCCATTGAAAAAGTATGTTGGTAAACTTCCTATTTAGTCACTTATCTATTCTCACATTTTTATTTTGGTCATTCAAGTAATTTTTTCAAGATTATAACTAATATTACGTTTTTAATTCTGTTTCGGTCACTCACTATTAGGTTTCACCATTGTTTTAATAAAAATGGTGATGTTACATGGTATAATAACAGTTTTAGTTTCTAAAATTTATACATTCTATTAAATTGATGCTAATTTAAAAAAATTCAATAAAATCTTGATATTTAAAAATTCTATTAATTTGGTCCAATATAAAATCCTAAAATCACTCTCCCAAATCTCGCTCTTCCCCAACATCATGGCCACCCGTTTGCTTAACCGCCGTCGTTGCCTCTCCATGTGGATTGAACACTTGTTTTTTCCTTGAAAAAAAATATCTCAAAGCAGCATGTCAGCAACATCTTTTAACTCTAAACAACACTTGGTTTGACCTTGCTGATGATCAAACGGTTGATGTTCACTCTCTTGCTCTTCCCAAGCACAATGCGTTCTGCAACCACTTCACTAATAACATTAACTCGTTTTACTTGTAGGAGCTTAAGGAGTATTGGATTTACGTGGAAAGATGTTTAAGAAATCGAATAAAAAGAACCCTTTGGAAAGGTTTATCCCGAGGTAATATGTCTCTATGGTAGGTGCAATGGGAGTTAAAAAAAAATCAAATTAGAATTAATACAATAGGATATATAAGTTTTTCGAGGTTAAAGATTATTATTATATCATGTTATAGAATCATTTTCATAAATTCAACGATTAAATTTAACAATAGGTGATTAAGACAAATAAGATGTCATATTTGATATGGTTTTGAAAACAAAAATAGTTAAGTAACCAAAACAGAAATGCAAAAATAGATGGATGACCAAATACATAATTTGCCCAAATCATTTTAACCGAATTGTTACAAATTTTTGTAGGTTAAGAGGATAAACGTAACCCGACGTTTTTAATAGATTGAAAACCTAAAAGCAATCCCATCATTCAAGCTATTTATGGACATCTAAATATTAGCTGGGTTGGCAGAATTATATACAAAACGATTTTTTATATGTTTTTGTCTGTTTTTAAACAACATTATTTTAAAATTTTAGATTTAATTATATATATAATATCTTATTATCACAATTGATATTTATTAATGTTTAACACCTACTGACCTACACATAATGGCATAACCATATTTTCTGCCAGGATTAAATTTTTTCTTCATGAAGTTCCATTTTTTGTATGGCAAGGAGCCGATAGCGGAAGCTGATGAGTGAGGCAGAGTCAATAACAAAAGAAAACCCATAAAGTGCTGGAACAAAACCTACACAGTGATGCCATATAAACAGGATATCTTTAATTTTTCACCCTATTTTTTTCTTAATATAAACAGTTAGTTTTATTAGAAATAAAAAAAATTCTACAATGAATTTCTACGACCACAATCGTAAATTAAATATTAGATTAAGGGTTGCATTTGTCCATGTAGTAGACCCAATTTACCATTTTCGTCTCTATCGTATTTTCGTATCAATTTAACCCTCAAAGTTGTTTAATTGCATCATTCTATACCTTAACTCTAACTTAAAACCCTAAATTGATAACCTTGAACCATAATCCCTAAACCATAAACATCTATAACTTAAAACCCTTGATTTATGATTTTAAGTGAAGAATATGATATAGAATGATGCAATTGAGCAACTTCGGGGGTTAAATTGATGTGGAAATACGATAGAGACAAAAATAATAAATTGAGTATGCTACAGAGAAAAAATGACCCTTAATCCTTAAATATATAATGGAGATATTTTTTTATAATCGTTAATACAAAAAATTAACTACATAAGATTATATAAGGATAAAAAATAACATGTATATTTGATCTATTTATTTTACATATATGCAGATATAAACATTTAATATTGTTTAGCTCGAAAAATAGCATTAATGGTTTCCTCACGTCACACAAACATAAAGCGAATTGATTTATATTTCGTATCGAATATCTTTGTTTCCCCCCTTTAATCATGTTTAGTCAACCACGTGCACAAGCAGTGGCGGATCAAGGAATTTAAGAATAGGGTCCAAAATTTTATTTTTTTTCTTAAAAATAATAGGTTTGCAAAAATTGTAATTTTTTTCTTTTTTCCGTAACACATTGAGTTAAATTTAACCAATTTTCCAAAATAATGGGATGCACTTGATCCTATGGAAGCTTAGTGCATCCGCCACTATGCACAAGAGGCTAAAAATAATGGAATGCACTTGATCCGGCTTAGTGCATCCGCCCCTGTGCACAAGAGCAACTAAAGTTTCACACAGTTTCAGTCGGCAGAGTTAGGTTTTTTGCGGTGGAGAATCTTTGTAGCTTTAGATTAAAGACAAGGGAGTGCATGGGTGAACAATAATAGCTCTCCTCAATTATACATCCATTTCATGATTAAGTATATAAAAGATACATTACACCATATTTTCTTTTTGTAAAATTAAGAAAAAAAATCCCAATTTATGTTTTAAAATCAAATATATATATATATATATATATATATATAAAAGATAAATATCAAGGTTTAAATTTTAAATATAATTAATTAATTAATTAAATGAAAATTATAAAAAATACAAAAATAAAATTATTTTAAACTGTAAGAATCCTCCTCAAAACTCGGTTAACAAAATAGTTGAAACTTGGGAAGTTGGCACGTGAAATTTGTCTTCAACTTTACTTCAAATAGCCTATACGGCAACTTTTCAAGCCTTACCTTCAAAGGAACATCAATGCGCAAGTTGATACATCATATGACAGCATCAACTTTTGGGGAAATGCTAAGTGTGACGTTTTAATATAAGATTAAAATAAAGTGTTACCGTTTTTGTTATTATTTTAAATAATAAAATTAATAAAAACAATTGAAAATATTATTATTTTGACTGGTTCTAATTACCTATATAGGTAAATACGGTAGAAAAAATCCGGTAAAAAAATAATGTTTTAGATAACGTTTTATCGAAAATTTCATTTTTTTAACTAAATTTTTTCTATTGCGTTTACCTATATAGATAATTAAAATCGATAAAAATAATAATATTTTCTGTTATTTTCTATCGATTTTGTTATTTAAAAAAATAATAAAATCAATAACATCTTATTTTAACCGTATACTAAGACGTCACACCAGAGAATTGTCCCATCAACTTTGAGAGTTTCCGACAGCCAACTACCTCTATGGGCAAGTTGAAATTATCCCAAAAAAACAAACGATTATTTTTAATCTATTTAAGCACCAATAATTAAATAAAAGAGAGTTTAAGATTAATTAAACACTCTCTCTCCTTCCCCAACCATTTTAAAATGAACCCTACATGACCCAAAATTGCATGCTTTACAATCTAAAGTATTTTAAGTTATTATTTTTTACAGAATACAATTCCCATTAAAAAATGCTTCTAAAACAAGAAATCCATGAATTTGAGCCAAGGTATCGAGCTCTTTGTAACAACATCAGCTTCATTGAAGCACGACGACGTTCTGCTCTCACCGTCCTTCGACGCCGCCGTTTTTGTGCACAAGAAGAAATTTCTGGATCCCAACGCCATCAGCTTCTCTTCTCTTTCCAAACCTGTGGCCAACCACACAAAAATATTTATTGGCAATTGATCTTAGCCCTAAGTTAATATTAAAACATAAGTTAACTGATCTAACGGCTACGGAATCTTCGGAGACGGTTCGCATTTTTTCCCCCCTTACTTTCTAAGCTGAACTGAGAATAATGGAGATCGAAAAGCGCGACGTCCGTTGGCCGCATGATTGGCCGACGGCCTTCCTTGGAGTACTGCCTAACGGCGGCAGTTATCAAGTCTCTGACAGTGTTTTCCGGTGACATCACCACCTGAATGGCTCCTAGACTGTCTTGAATAGTCACGTTCAGTAGCAGCTTCGTCAACTTCGGCTTCACATCGGAGAAGGTGGAAATTGCCTTCTCTTGAAGTAGATCGGGCAGCGTCTTTGGCCGCCTCAGCTCTGCCGGTGCCATCGTCGGGATTCTCCCGTGAAACGACGACGCCTTTTCAGATAGCCTTCCCCTCCGGCTCCTCTCCTGTTCCTTTCGGTTATTTTTTGAATTCGGCATCGAATTGGATTTATAGACTGTAGTATAGTATGCAATAACACAAACAAAAAACAAGAAAATTTTCTTTGATGCTGCTTACTTTTGGTTGGCGAGTGGAAGAACGATTACCTCAATCGCCGGTGACGGTAAAACCTGAACCAAGGGAAACCGAGGGCGGGATCGGAGCGACGGCTCTCGGATTTCCAGTCACAGTAAGCTATGCCTATCATCAGCTGAAGGGTTAGCCGTAAATAGACAGAGAACCTAAGGACGAACGAAAAGGCTAATAAAGCAATTAGATAGGACGCGAGCTCCTCAAGTGCCTAATCCTCGCACCACATTTATATTGGGAAATGGGAAGGAAAGCGAAGAAAAATAAAGAGAAGCGTCAATGATTCTCTTGCGTTACCGGCTACGTCCGGTTGATGAGAAACAAAATATTGGTCAAATTTTATAAAAGGTCCCCTATACTATGTGCTTTTGATGAATTTGGTATCTATTATAATTTAATCATTTTATCTTTGTGTAGTTATGGTGTAACACCCTTAACCCGTATATGTCTCGATATACAAGTTAAAGATGTCACATCAAACTGAAAACATTTACTGAACTAAAATTTCCGTAAAAATTTGTTTCTTTGAAAATACTCTTGTTCTAACTTTTAAAAAAATCTATTTTAAAGTATATTTCAAATTATAATTTATTTCTTTATTACAGGAAAATAAAATAATTATTTATTCAGTAATTTTATTAAACTATATCTTTTCGTAAAACCTTTTTAAAAACATAATAATGTAATAAATTCTTGTCATGCATAGTTACCAATAAAACTAAACTAAGTAAAATAAACTAAAATAGTTCTAGTTTACTATTATAATTTATTTAAAATAAATATGATAATTAGAAACTATTGACATAATTATACATGCCACTATAAGTCAAAAGAAACATCATAGATGTCTTACTGATACTGATGATATATATGTCTTTCCAAAAGATGCTCTGATAGCTCCTTACTGATCGTACTTATCCTTACTAGAACCTACGCATGAAAATCATCACGCGCTAAGTATAACTTAGTGAGGCAGTAATACTACAATATCAAAATATATAAAATCATTAAAATAAAACAGACTGAAATTCTTCAGAACATTCAAACCATATATCTCATGTTGAACTTTATAATAAACCTGAAAATAATCATCTGATAATTTTCACAAGATCATCTGATAATTTTCACAAGATCATAAATAATCAGATCAGACAGAATAATAAATTCATAATTCTTTTTAGTCAGACACTTTTCAGAACTTTCTTATTTCATTTTTATAGACCAAAGTATATTTTAAGATAATATAAGATACGTGAGTCAGACGAGTGTGCGCAATACAGATATCAGATCATCAGTCGGAACAGATAAGCACACATAGTGCTATCACATCGGAAATAACAATATGCACACTAGGTGCATTCAGATAAGAATATATATATACTAGTGTACACTCCGGTACACCACATTATATCAAAATCAGAACAGATAATCACTCCACCTCATAGCATGCCAATTGTACCTTTGACTCTCAATATAACATACAGTGGGCTTTTAGTTCATTTCTTAACCATTTGATAAACATCACATCAGAGTCGAAAATATATTTAATTCACATTCTTAAAATGTGACATGGACAGTTCATGTCCAAAAACTTTCATAAAACTTATTAAAGAAATTATAGATATAATTTCATATTCAAAACATAATTCATATCTTTGAAATAAATAAGGTGAGGTTGACTTATCGCAAGTCATCCTCGATCAAAATAATTAAATAAATAAATTGCACTCACCTTTGCCTCACTTAAGAACTTGTATACGATAATACTAGTCACAAACTTTGTCCTTTCCTTTCAGATTGTTCGGATTGCTAGTTTTATTGAAATCTGACAATACGAAATTATAACACAAAATGTTTAAACTACATATTAGTATCGTTCTAACATAAGCTCATTTTTGACATTTGAGAATATATAAAATAAAATCGATAACTAAATCGATATCAACCTAAATCATAACTCCATTATAACTTTAAACCACATATTTTGAATTCTTTATAAAATTCAACTCAACTTTTCCTTTAATTCATAATGGTCCTTCGCCATTATGATAATTTTACATTAATTACTAAAATTCCAGACCTTGAATAAAATACCCAAATAATACTTCTTCATTTAAGAACTTGTAAACAAGTCCCCAAAGTTTTGGAACCTTTCGAATTCCACCATCTAACCATTAAAATGAATTCTTTTAGAATTCTTCTCAACATTTCCAATTTTTTCAAAATGGTATCTTGACATTTAACTTCAATTCCAAGCATCCAAAAATATACTCAACATTTAAACATTATTCTTCATCTTCTAATCCATTTCAACTTAAATTCTACAAATTTTCATATTCAGACAACTTGTGCTATCTTTAAAGAATCAATATTCTGTATTGATGTACATACTGGAATTTGATTCCGTTTCTTCCATTGAAAACTAGACTTGAATATGAATCTATCCATATAAAGAAATCCTTCTAATTCAATCTGTACAATTTATGGTGAATTTTTAAAGTTGACTGACATAATCTGTTTTGTGCAGAATCTGCTGCCCGTTTTTATGACCTTTCCTCGGTTAAAAATTCATATTTTTTATACACCTTGAAACTGATCCCCGTTTGTTTTAAACGAAACTAGATTGATATACGAACACAATATATAAAAATCACCAGCTAATCATTTTCATATAATTTCTGGTGAATTTTCAAACTCACTTCCAAATTCAAAATCTAAACTGTTTTCATTAACTTCATCCTTAAATTCTTCATTAATCCTTACAACCAATTCTTTAAAATCACTTAACTCTTCATAATCCCTAAAACACAAAAAATCAACATCCCCTTCATCAACTCAAGATAAATTTAAACCTAAACCATAACAATATTTATGTCAAATGAAAGAGAATTTCATGTAGGTTATTTATCCTTAATAACCTAACATAAAATTCTAGTAAAAATAGACCAAAAATAAAACTAGAGTTCTTACCTTTTTGAGCTTAAAGTTTCGGTCACTCTGGAGAAGAAGAAGCTGAGCTTTTCTCTTTTCTTCAATTTACTAAACATCATCCCTTAATACACTTGTCACTACATAATAAAATGAATTTAAAATTTATTTAATCCACTTTACCATTTTATCCCTAATAAAACTTAATAATTTCATCCATGGCACTTATGGAATCATCACTTACCTCATCAAATTCAGAAAATATCTAAATTCTAATTTTTCATGTTTGTCCTTGTAATTTTTGAAATTTGCAATTTAGTCACCTAATTCCAAAATTTTAGCTTAACATGGAAAATCGACTTCAATTCCATTGATCCATGTTAAATTTCACTTTTCTAAAATATATAAATAATATTTCCAACCTTTATCTAGCATCCTTCACATTTTTGTGAAATTTTGATTCGATCTGATTATCCGATTTAATACCGAACTTTACCGCTTTATAGCCTTTAACACAAATCTCATACCGAAAATATGATTCCCACTAAAATCATTGTTTTCGACCAAACTATTCATTTACAGGCTAAAATATATAACTTTTAAAAATTACAAATTTCAGTCCCTACACTTTTCAAAGTTTATACTTTAGACACTAAACTTTCAAAACTTACATTTTAGTCACTAGTCAAATTTTTGGGGTATTACATATGGAGACTCTAATCCAGTTATTGATCATTCAATTTTGTCAATCATATCACTTAATTATTTAAATGATGTCAATCAAGTCATCAATCGTCAATATTTAATAGAAATATGATGTGGTAGTTAAAATTTTTGGTATAATTACATATTTGATGCATGTTACTTACACATTATACCGATTTGATCCTAATTTTAATTTAATAAATTTAATCTGTTAATCAGATAATGACACATATCATTAGTGAATTTATACATTAAGATATAAGATAATACCACATGTCAATTACAAACTATATAATAATCTTGGTTTATGTTGAAAATATTTTGATATTTTGATATAACAATTTAAGTTAAATGAATTTTAAGATTTTCTAAATGATTTTCTAAATATATTCGATATAAATATTCGAATATCAAAACATTACTCCAGATATTTCAAAAATCATTTTTAATCCTTACTCAAGTGTAAAATTAAGTTTTAATCTTAAAACAATTTCAAAATAATTTTACAAAGTATTTCGAACCATTTCAAAGCCAAAAATTCCAGATTGCTCAGAGGGAACTGATTCCCCCCCCAAGGGGGTACCGATTTCCCCCTGAATGGTTTGGCTCCGAGATTTCCAATATGCTCGGAGGGAACCGATTCCCCCCAAGGGGGTACCGATTCCCCCATTGTATAACGGGCGAAATATTTGAATTTTACACTTAGGGAACCGATTCCCCCCACGCTCTAAGCTGTTTTATTAATTGTTTTCACACTAAAATGGCTATATTATCTTCTCTAATCATCCCCAACGTTCAGAAGTGGTTCAAGGTGTATTTAAGCAAGCTTATAAGCCATTGATCAACAATAAGAAACATCAAGCAACTAGAATCAAGAGAGAATCAAAGAGAAAGCATCAAACCTCAAGTTTGAGCATTTCAAGCCTATTTTTTTATTCAATATTCATTTTGCTTTCAATAACACTTATTGTGCTCAATTGTATTTACTATTGAGTGTTCTTTCTTTGTTCTAGAATTGTGCAAACATATTTGCCTTGTGAGGTTTTTCTTGTAAGTTTGCAAATTTGTATTTCTCTTTGAGAAAAGAGTGTTATCAAGAATTGGGTTATATTCTTGAGGAAGTTGTAAGGTTATCTCTTTGGCCTCAAAAGAAAGAACAAATTAGTGAATTTGTTGGAAAATCCTTAGTGTGGATAGTTAAGGTAGTGGACGTAGACTTTGGTTGATAAAGTCGAACCACTCTAAATCGCTGTGCAATTACTCTCAATTTTCTGCAAAAGCTTCCACCAAAATTTTAATTGTCAATTCACCCCCTCTTGGCCGATTCCGTCAATCGATTAACTCAACAATTGGCATCAGAGCCTAACTCATTTGAAGGTTTAATCACCTCTTGAGTCGATTCGGGAAGAGTTATATCGATAATCAAAGTCATCAATGGCCTCCGCTTCAAACTTCGACTCCGGTCTTGATTCGATACCCGTCACCAAGCCTCCTTTCTTCAATGGGTCTAACTATGCCTATTGGAAGAATAGAATGATGTACTTCATTC